CTACTACCAGCATACTACTACCAGCACTACTACTCCCAGCACTACTACTCCCAAGCACTCTACTACCAGATACTAAAAGTACTATCCCAGCATATACTACCACTTTTTAATACCTACATACTAGCTACTATCCAAGCACCTACTACCTACCAGCACTACTTACTACCAGATATATACCAGCACTATACTACCAGTAACTACTACAAAAACCCAGCACTACTACTAACAGCATTTACTATACCAGCACTACTAAAGTCTCTAACCAGCTATACTACCACCTACACACGTACTACTACTACCAGCAACTACTACTACCAGCTTACTATTTACCGTATACTACTACCAGTCACTTCCCGCCTACCCAGCATTTACTACTACCGCACTACTACTACCAGTATACTTTAACAGACTACTACTCCAGCATAATACGTTTTTAACTACCAACAAAAAGACACCAGTACTATACTACCAGCCTTATTTATACCAGACTCATACTACAGTAATAAAGTCTACAAACCCCAGAATATAGACTATATACCAAGCACTACTACTACAGAAACTATTACTCAGCACTACTACTACCAGACTATATACCAGTATTTATACTACAGCACTACTACTACCAGCATACTATACAGTACTACTACTACCGGGGCACTATACTACAGTATACTACTACCAGAACTACTACTACAGCAATACTATACCAGTATACAACTACAGCACTAATACTACAGCACTATTTTTTATACCAGACTACTACTACCAGCACTATACTACAGTACTAATCGATACTACTAAAAGAACTACTACTACCAGCACTATATACAGTACTATTACTACAGTATACTACTACCGCACTATATTCCCAGCATACTACTACCAGTACTACTACTCCAGCACTACTACTACCAGACTACTACTACCAGCCCTACTCGACTTCTACTAGACAAATACTACCAGACTCTACTACCAGCACTACAAAATACAGTTATACTACTACCAGCATACTATACCAGGGTACTATATACCAGTACTAATACTACCAGTACTACTATACCAGCACTACTACTACGCACTATACTACCAGCATTACTATACAGTTACTACTATACCAGCCATATGACTTCCAGCACTACTATTACAGTACTATACTACAGCATACTACTACCAGACTATTATACCAGTACTATATACTACTACTACTCAGCATACTACTTACAGCACTACTACTACAGCACTACTATACAGTACTTCTACTACCAAAACTACTACTACACCCACTACTACTACAGTACTACTACTACCAGCACACTACTACCAGTACTATACTACCATACTTATTCCCCTACTCTACCAGACTACACTACCACATACTATACCGATACTACTACCAGTCAATACTAATTACTAATATACTACCAGAAATAAAAATACCAAATTTATACTACAGACTACTACTACAGCACTAAAACTACCAGTCATACTACGCATACTACTACATAATATACAAACCAGACAAATACTACAGCTATATCCATACTACACATATCACTACCAGCACTACTCTCCGCACTATCCCCTATTATTCGCTACTATACCAGTACTACTACTACCAGTTTTACTACTACCAGTACTACTACTACCAGCACTACTACTACCAGCACTACTACTACCAGCACTACTACTACCAGTACTACTACTACCAGCACTACTACTACCAGCACTACTACTACCAGTACTACTACTACCAGCACTACTACTACCAGTACTACTACTACCAGACTACTATACCAGCACTACTACTACCAGACTACTACTCCCAGACTACTACTACCAGCACTACTCTACCAGTACTACTACTACCGTACTACTATACCAACACTACTATACCAGCACTATCTCAGTACTACTACCCCAGTACTATACTACCAGCACTACTACTACCAGTACTACTACTACCAGTACTACTACTACCAGTCACTACTACTACCAGCACTACTACTACCAGCACTACTACTACCAGCACTACTACTACCAGTACTACTACTACCAGCACTACTACTACCAGTACTACTACTACCAGTACTACTACTACCCCTATATACCGTACTACTACCAAAAACCAGACTACTACTACCAGCACTACTACTACCAGCACTACAAATACCAGCACTACTACTACCAGCTACTATCTCAAACTATCCAGCACTACTACTACCAGCCTACTACTACCAGACTTCTACTACCAGTACTACTACTACCAGCACTACTACTACCAGCACTATTCTCCCAGTACTACCATACAGCTACTATACCAGCACTACTACTACCAGCACTACTACTACCAGCACTACTACTACCAGCACTACTACTACCAGCACTACTACTACCAGCACTACTACTACCAGCACTACTACTACCAGTACTACTACTACCATACTACTACTACCATACCAACTACCTAGCATACTACTACCAGCACTACTACTACCAGTACTAATACCAGCACTACTACTACCAGCACTATACCAGCACTACTCTACAGACTATACTCCCGCTACTACTCCCAGTACTATACTACCAGATACTTACTACCAGCACTACTACTACAGATATACTCCCCTACTACCCAGTACTACTAAATACTAACCAGACTACTACTCCAGCACTACTACTACCAGTACTATACTACCGGCACTACTACTACCAGTACTACTACTACCTGTACTACTACTACCAACACTACTACTACCAGAACTACTACTACCAGCATACTACTACAGTACTACTATACCAGCATTTAACTATACCAGTACTACTACCGTACTACTTACTACCAGACCTAACTACAGACTACTACTACCAGTACTACTACTACCAGCACATTACTACCAGTACTACTACCAGTACTACTATCCCAGCATACTACTCCCGGCAACTACTCCAGTACTATACTACCGTACTACTACCACTATTACTACCATTTCTACTACTACCAGACTATACTACAGTACTAACTACCAGCACTACTACTACCATACTACTACGATACTACTCCCGGGACTACTACTCCCACTACTACCATACTACTACTACAGGTAACTATACTACTACCAGTATCTACCATATACTACTACCAGTACTACTACTACACTACAAACTACTACCAGTACTACTACTACCACTACTACTATTATTACTACCAGTACTACTACCACTACTACTATTACTATACCCAGTATACTACTACACTATTACTATACCAGTACTACTATTTACCTTACTACTATACTACTCCCAACTAAAATACGTTACTACTACTTACTACTATTTTACTACTACTACTACTACCACTATTTATTACTATCACTACTACTCCCAAACTTACTATTACTATCCATACTCTACTTACTATCCACTTAAAACTACCTTACTACTATTCTATCTACTTACCGTACTACTACTACTAACCAATTCACTAACTACTACCGTCACTTCTAACACTACACTACTACTACTACAGTATACTACTACTCCTACTACTACCAGTACTACTCCCACAAAACTATCTACTTTACTACTCCGGGACTACTCAAATACTACTCATACTACTAAACACTACTACTACTTACTACTACTTCTACTATTACTACTACTACTCACTACCAGTACTACTACTACTACTACCAGTACTACTACTACTTCTCATCCTTATATAAGTGATATTGTTGGTAATACTTTACGCTGTGTTGTAGTTAAATTTACAACAGGATGTAATTACGTATAAGTGTGTACAAATATAAGTACACACGGAGAGAAAAACTCAGAAAATGAATTAGTCTGTATATTTCGACCTCCTGCTGGGGTCCTCTTCAGCAGGGAGTTGAAATATATCTTTAAACGTATAAGAGAAAATTTTAGAAAGGACTTAATTTTAAATGAGTTGTTGCTAATTGACCTATTTCACCTATTCGGCACGACATATATAGATAGATATAGTTTTGCGTCTTTCGTGTTGCAATCGACACATCGTCAACAGCTTGCAATGTTGCGGAAAAGAGAAGGAGATCCAGGCAGATTATTTCAAAGGAACGTTCTCACCTCGAATGTTCATAGACCTATTCACGGCTTTTTGTAGAGTAAAATTTAATTTTTGAGTGTTTTTAAGTGTTATGTTTTAGTCAAAAGATATGTCGTAGTCTCTGTCTCCTCAGGAAAAAATGTTAAATGGTTGTGTTGTTTGGTAGTGAGTGTGAACATTATGATCTGGGATGGTGGTGGTGTTGGTAGTTGTGGTTGTTGTTGTTGTTGTGGTGGTGGTGGTGGTGGTGGTGGTGGTGGTGGTGGTGGTGGTGGTGGTGGTGTTGGTAGTTGTGGTTGTTGTTGTGGTGATGGTGTTGGTAGTTGTGGTTGTTGTTGTGGTGGTGGTGGTGTTGGTAGTTGTGGTGTTGTTGTGGTGATGGTGTTGGTAGTTGTGGTTGTTGTTGTGGTGGTGGTGGTGTTGGTAGTTGTGGTTGTTGTGTTGTTGTTGTGGTGGTGGTGGTGTTGGTAGTTGTGGTTGTTGTATTGTTGTTGTGGTGGTGGTGATGGTGGTGGTGTTGGTAGTGGTGGTGAGGTGGTAGGGCCAGAGTAGTAACACTCTAACCAACTTTTCAATTTCTTCACTCTGGCACAGTGCCACTCCAAAATGGTGCCATTATTGTGTCATAAATACATTCCTCCGAGGGCACTGTCATGACATAATCACATAACCTAACTTGTCTTCTCTCTCTCTCTCTCTCTCTCTCTCTCTCTCTCTCTCTCTCTCTCTCTCTCTCTCTCTCTCTCTCTCTCTCTCTCTCTCTCTCTCTCTCTCTCTCTCTCTGTGGTGGCTCTGCTCCACCTTTCTGAGCACAGCTATGTCATAACCACCTGCCCAACCTGCCCCTACCCAGGCTGCCCCTAGCCACCTGCCCAGCCTGCCCCTCGACATTTCGAGGCAAGAAACTCGGCCAGGGTGCCGCCCTCACACTGACCGTGCTAGAGAGTGCCACAAGTGAGGCAGCAGTGCCAGTAGGAAGGTGCCAGCGCTCATTCCTCTCCCACCCAATATGAAGCTGTCTTGG